GGTTTCTCTTTGAGAATTGTCTCCCCTGTCCGTTGATCCTTCACAGAAACACCATGTTTCTTAAACACAACATCAACATCATTGTTATTTTCCACTTTATAGACACTTAATAGATTCTTTTTAATCTGTGGATAGTAGAGTACATCTAGTAACTTGATTGGTTTGTGAGGTACAGTTGGAATTTTAGTAGATCCTATCTTTTTAACACTTAATTTATCACCATTACCAACAATATTCATCTTATCAGTAGGATCAACAGTATTTTTAAGATAGGGTACATCATTAGTCACATAATTTGTTACCCCACTGTCAAGATACCATGCATCATCATTAATGGTTTCATGTGTAGCCCAATAAGCTGCATTCAAATCATGATTAGCACTAGAATTTAAGCTGTTAGAGCCACCAAAATTTTAAGTATTTTTGTGTCGAGGCTTAATAAAGGTTCTATCATAATGATAGAAGCATGTACCACTTGGTGACCAAATTTTTCACAAAGTTGACACTGAGGAGGATCAGAATTTTTATAACTATTAAAGCCATAATTTGTTCTACCCCTGCCACGAAAATTTCTAGAACTATGGCCACCATACTAAGCACATGGTGTAGATGATTCAGTTCTGGCCAAGTTGACTAAACTATTAGACAAAGAGAGGCTAAAAATCTAATGAAGTTGATATAAGCGACTCTTATAAGTTAATAAGTTAATAATTTAGCTTGAAATTCAATCCAGTTAAGTTCCTCTGCTTTACGAGCTAATTGAACTACTACAGCATTATAATCAGCATCAAGTCCAGCAAGAACTTGTATAATAAGATCAAAAAGTGATACAGAGTTACCAGCTATAGATAACTATTCTAACAGATTTTTCATTTTGGCTAAGTAATCTGCCATTTTCATTGGTCCTTTCCTTGTGTGTTGCGGATTTGCTTTAAGCATTAAGACTCGAGCTTTAGTCTGTGCTCCAGCAAGTTGGCGTGCTACCTCCCATAAACCAGTAGATGTTGAGATAGTGGTCGCCTGGGAAGAGACATCAAGGTGCATTGTATTTAATAACCATCCAAATAAGAGTGATCTACAGCTACCCAGTCTTCAAATTTCAGGTTTAATGTTATCATATTGTTTTCTGTGATAAATTAAGGGGGATACTTGTTTGTGCCATAGAGATATCACTGGAGTTTGTGATTCTTAATAATAGGCAGAATGTGTGTGTGCCAGATTAGGAAATTTGTGCCATCCAGCTTGATAGCACATGGTTGGTTCATGCCATTTGAATTTCCAATGTTTTTCAGGAGGTTATTTACTGAGAGTAGAGAGTTTGAAGCAGACCCAAGAGAACCACTATTGCTGCGAGAAGCATTTAGGGTTTCCATAGTGATTAACCTTGTAATTGCTCTAATACCAAGAACAAAAATATGAAGAACTGATTGTGTAAAATGGTGGCATGTCTGCCTCTCTTCATTTATTATTATTTATAGTTAGGGCACTGAACCCTAGAGTAAAAGAATTAGATAAATGCCATGTACAGATATTTACAAAATAACATAGGTCTACAACTAAAATAGGTGCAGAACAAATGAACTAACACATGGTTACTGGACCTAAGGATACACATAGCTAATTGGGCTTAACACATAAGGCCTTATTTGTCTTAACAGTAGAGGAGTACTAAGGGACTGGCGAGGTAATTGGATATTGAGTTTTAAACAAAACTTGGGTATCCTGAACCTTTTAGCTACAAAGTTAATGGCAATTTGTAATGCTTATCTTATCAATGGAGAACACAATATGCAAGTTGTCATTGTGTTCATTGATTCTTTAGGTGTGTTGAATTTGCTGATTAAAGATGATAGACTTCCTCATCTGCTTGATGACACTGTGAAAGAAATCAAACAAACCTGGTCATAGATGCCTCATGTTAAGATCACTCACACTTATCGTAAAGGAGTTAGATGTGCAGATCAATGTGTAAAAAATGCCTATAAAAGAGGGTTTGAAATGATTATTATTCCTTTGGTGCCATTAGAATGTTTGAATATATTTGTTTCTAAATAGATTAACCCTGTTGGAGTAGCTTAGTTTGTTTTGTTTATCAAGCTGTGAAGCTTGCCATGTTTATTCAAAAAAAAAAAAAGAAATAGTGATATCTGAAGTTTGAACTAGCACAAAGTAAATAATTCAATGTCATTCGTTTGATTCTTAGAGTAGCGGAGGAGATTTTCCCACGTCATTATTAGATAATCCTCGTGATAAACAACAAAAGATGACTCAAACAGTGTACCCTCTCTCGAAGATAACAACTTTCCTTCACCAAGTTCGTCTTCGGTGCTCGCCGAGGTGCCTATGTATTTGGTTTTGGATATCTTAATCATCTAAATTTATCAATTTTATTTTTATATTTTAATATATATTTATTAAATTATAAAATATAAATTTTTAATAAATTTACTTTATCATCGATTTAGACAATATAAATTTAATTTAAATAGTGTAATTTAATAATTAATTTTTTTATAAATTGACTATCCAGATGTACTTTAGATCTAGTTTGTCCATAGTACATTTGGATAGTCAATTTATAAATTTTTAAAAAGTAATATTAAATTGGACCACCTAGATTAAATATGTATTGTCTAGACTGATGATAAAATAGATTTATTAAAATTTTATAATTTTTATAATAAATATAAAATAAAATTTAAAAAATAAATTTTATAAAATTTAAAAATTTGGACGGTCCATATGCTCATCAAATGATGAGCACTAAACTGGTGCTTATCACTCAAAATAAATTTGGATCACCTGGAGATTAAATTTAAATGGTCTAGACTTTTTAAATTTAAATTTTATATTTTATGAGAAATGAAAATTTATAATATTTTATAAATATATTTATTATTAACTTGAACAGTATTAATTTAATTTGCATAGTTTAATTTAATATTATAATTTTTATAAATTAACTATTTAGATATATCGTGAACAATATAGATTCAATATTAAATTTTTTTAATATTTTTTATTTTAATAAATATAAAATTAAAATTAAAAATAAAAACTTTAAATCTAAATCTTACAGATAAAAATTTAATATTAAATCTGAACTGTCAAAAGTATATCTAAATAGTCAGTTTATAAAAATTATAATATTAAATTGAACCACTCAAATTAAATCAGTATTGTCTAGATTGATGATGAATGTATTTATCAAAAAAATTTATAAATTTTTATTTTTATAAAATATAAAATTAAAATCAAAATCAAAATTGAAATTAAACAAATCTGGGCCATCCAAATTTTTTCCTGGGCGATGAGCGAAGCCGGATCCTCCTTCACCACACCAGCTTCCGTGGCTTGAATAACAGCCAACAGCCATGGTTCACAGCTAAAGAGCGGGTCTCCGGTAGAGTGCTGACAGGAATGTACGTATGGCCTGATAACCTGATAAGCATTTTAGAAATGCCTAACGTGTTATTTGTTACATGTACTTAAAGACATGCTCGTGAAACATTGGATTGCCGTCGTCCCACTTGAAGAAATATGCATGTGCCCAGAATCCCGGGGAGAGATGCGCTTCAGTGAGCGCCTTCAATTTGTCTCCCACCTATAGTGCCAAGTTTTATGTTTTTTTTTTTAATTGCGTTGAGATGTTCTTCTTTTAAAAATAACCCTGTTCGAAACATTACGCTAACTGGCTGTCTGGATACGCGTCATAATTGATTATATATGAATCAAAACATGGTTTTGATAAAAATCACCCAAACACCGTCATTTTTTTATAATCAATTATTTGTATTTTAACCACGTTTTACTGTAAACTGGAATGGGGAGGTTATCAGAATTGATTTTTAACATTAGATCCATGTGTCGGGAGTCAAAATTTTTATACCAAGCCATACCCCTCAAATTGTAAGCCCCTATTTTGCCCGTGGGAGATTGGGAGCGAGGGGAAAGTGGCAAGACTTGTGAAACTAGGTGTTGCAGTCCACATGTCACATCCTCAGAGAGTTTCGTGTCCCTCTCTTCAACTTTCATATTATTTTTTTATTGATAGGTCCTGGCTTCTTTTTATTTTACACATATTGTTTAACATTTATATTATTATTATTATATTAACATTAACATATTTTATTTATTGAATAGAATTCAAAAATTTAACAATATTATATATAATTTTATTAATATTTACATTTTAAAAAATAATATCTTTTATGATAATTTTTATATTTAAAATTAATTTTTATTAAATCATCTAAATATCTTTAATTTGTCAAAATTAATTTTAAAAAAACTATATTCAAAAATATGGTCAATTAAAATCAAAATCAATCATATTAATTAATTATTTTTACAATTAATTATATTTAATTAAAATCCAAGCATGCCCTGAGTATGAGAACATTACCATTCGAAACTTGCCACCAAATTTGACTTGATAGGCCCTTAAATCTCATCCTTTCCTAACGGGACAACCTCTTCCCAAGACAAACGGTGACAATTACGTGTGTGTTTAATTTTTAGTTTGTCAAAAGTAGTTTGATAAAAGTTCATTTGATAAAAGTCAGTTTAGTGAAAGTTAGTTGTTGTAATAAAATTTACTTTGGATATATTTTTTCAAAAGTAAGTTTGACAAACTAAAAGTTGTTTGGATTAATAAAAATTTATTCTTTTGAAATGTACTTTTTAATATAAAATGACCAAAAAGGACATTAATTTATGATAATTTATAATTTTTATTATATAAATATAATATATTAGCAATATTTAAAAATGTGAAACAAATTTAAAATAATATAAAATTTAAAATGTTAAACAATAAGAAAAAATATAAAATTTAATTTTAAAAAAAATTATGTTATGAAATTTAATATATTAGCAATCGTCACTCTTTGCTTGCTCTTGCCGTACATAAGCTCTATCAAAGGCAACAAAAAACCATACAAGGCCACCGCCGCCGGCGTTAACACGAACCCCAGCACGTATTGCTTGGTGGACTCGCCTCAGGGGCGATCTCCAGATGAATGAAGAGCCAGCATACCAGCTCCAGTAGTGAGCAAGATGACGGCATTTATGGAGAAAGGGGTGAACTTTTTCCTGACGAGAAGGAAGGCAAAGGCGACGGTGAAAGCTAGCTGGGTGGCGATGATCAGAGCAGACGTGGAGATGGGGAGGCGAGCTGAGCTACAAGCATAGAGGTAATCGTCGAGGCTAGTGAGAACACTGATGACGAAGGCTGAAAGGAACAAGCGCGCGTCGATGAAGATGAAGGGCTTGGCTTGTCGGGAGAGGGGGCTGCGAATGAAAGAGATGAATAGGGGAAGGAGGCAGACAAGGAATCCGCCGGTTTCGAGCCAGCTGGAGAGCCAGACGCGTTTGCCGCTGTGGAGGAAGTAGAGGCAACTTATGAAAGGGCCGCTGCTGGTGCCTAAATGCTGGAGATGAGGAGCTCGGGATCTGTGACTAGACGGCGGAGGAGAGACGGAGGAGAGAAGGAGGAGTAGCGACAGAGCGACGGACGAGAGACCAGTGAGAAAGGGACGAGCGAGCGAGCGAGCGAGCGAGAGAATACGCAAAATGAAAGAGAGGCCACTGTCGGTGCACGTGAAGAAGGAGGAGATGAGGGCATCATGGTCTTTTGCAATATTAGGTACCAATCATTAATGCTCAATGTTTCTCATCTGCGTTTGAAAAGCTTCTAAAAGTTGCTTTCTATTTTTTTAGTTTCATATCCATTTAAAAGCTCTTTTAAAAAGTATATTTTATTTTAAAAATATATTTCAAACAACATCTCACATCTCAAAAGTTAAAATTTACGTTTAGAATGTGAAAAGTAAGTTTACCAAACGCACCCTACTTTAACCCAACCTAATCATTCAGCTGCTCCGTATTCGTCTTTCTCCCGTAGGGACGGCCTCTGATTTCAATCATTATGTTATCCATAATAAAATAAGAGTCACGACCACATCCTGCACCAATAATTTTAATTATTTTTGATTGAATGGTAGCCCATTGAGATTGGTCCAATTTTATGTAATATATTGATTCATAATTCACGATGATCATATTTTTCACAGGAAAATCTATCCTGATAAGAAGTAACACCAACTGGTTCTCAAACGCTTCTCAATGGCGCGAATCGGAGCTCATTGTCGGGTCTGGACAAACACGTCCATGGTTGTCGTCTCCACTTTCTTGCTAGGTTTAGTCATTGTTTCGGCTCAAAGAGAATCCCCAGGCGAGATAACAGCTGGTTCCAACGACGATACATACCCTTTTTCTACTTATCTTGTCAACGCCATAGATTTCCTATGGAAACCTGGTCGATCTGGTTATCAACATGTCTGGCCAGTAAGTTTCTCACCTCCCCATGCTATCCTTGAACCTTCTCTGACATGTTTTCTCTTCTGATATGTATCAAGCTCGCTCTAAAACCTCAAGGTGCAAATTATGTAACAGAAAGCATACTGCTACTAGTTTGTGTCGTTTGAGGTTCTTAATGTTCTGTTCCAATGATTTCCCATCTGAATAATGAAACAGAAGTTTGATTATTCATGTGCTCTAACGATGAACACGTAGGAAATGAGATTTGGATGGCAGATCGTTGTCGGCACATTGATTGGATCCTTGGGAGGAGCGTTTGGGAGTGTGGGGGGTGTTGGCGGCGGCGGCATATTTGTTCCAATGTTAATGCTCATTATTGGGTTTGATCCAAAATCAGCAACTGCTATTTCAAAATGTAAGATTCAATCTACATCTTCGTGACACATGACTCGGTCATATATATTCAGAAAATTAATGCTTCCCTTTATTTCTGTCTGAACTAAGAATGGCTTGGTCTGGTGTGTGACAGGCATGATCACCGGTGCAGCCATCTCGACCGTTTACTTCAACTTGAAGTTGAAGCATCCTACGTTTGATATACCCATGATTGACTATAATATGGTGCTGCTCATGATGCCCATGCTCATGCTGGGGATTACCATAGGGGTCAGTTTAAGTGTTGTATTTGCAAATTGGATGATCACTCTCCTCCTAATCATTATTTTCACAGGTAATGAATGCTCGGACAGGTATTTATTAGTTACTTAATAAACTGAATCCCCACTTGGCAATATCGTTGATTTGCTACATACCTGGCTGCCCACACAGGTACCTCAATCAAGGCATTATTCAAGGGCGCTGACACGTGGAAAAAGGAAACCATAATAAAACAGGTTCATATATACACACCACAAATTCACGCCAACTGAATCCTTGCTAATTAGGTTGCATATATATAGTCCCGGGTTTAGAGAAACCATCCCTAGAGACTCGATTATATAAAGACTTAGTACCGTTTTTCTTTTTAAATATCACTTGGATGTCAAATTGCAGGAGACCGCCAAGCTTTTGGAGTCTACTGGTTCGTGTAGCTATTAATTATAAAGGGTTATATTAGTGAATGCTCAATTATGTATTACTAAATCTAGGTTCGGGCTTTGTCTTTTTATATTATGCAGCAACGGCTAGTGGGTTAGCAGAGTACAAGTCTCTTCCAGCAGGGCCTCAAATGGACACTGAAAAAGCTCAGGTTTGCAAATTATATATATGCGAATCATGATCGACTTAACATCTCTGTAGTCTCTTCTTGTTTACTTCAATGGAACCGCTGATTCAGGTTTCCATTATTGGCAACGTTTATTGGAAAGAGTTCGGAATTCTTTGCTTTGTCTGGCTAGCATACCTTGTCCTGCAGATTGTCAAGGTCACTTTCGTTTTCCCCGACATCCTCCTCCTTTTACTCTGAACATTTTCTCAGACTATTGGTCAAAAAAAAAAAAAAGAACATTTTCTCGAACTAACAGGCAAACATAATATCCATATTCACAGACTCGCACAGCAACATGTTCAGTCACATTCTGGATAGTAAATTTTTTACAGGTAAGCATACTGTATATTCAGATATGAGGTATATACAGCTTAAAATGTGGAAGCATCCTCATTATAAAAAAAAATGTGGAGGCATCACTTTTCTGATTTTTTTGCAGGTGCCAGTTTCGTTTGGAGTGTATCTATACCAAGCAATTGGGCTCTATCAGGGTTGGAAAGCCATTCCTTCAAAAGGAGATCAAGGCACTCGTTTGCCATTGCACCATCTGATTCTCGCCATTGTTTGTGCTGTCACGGCTGGAATTGTAGGTGGCCTTCTCGGTATAGGCAGCGGATTTGTCATGGGTCCTTTGTTTTTGGAATTGGGAATCGCTCCTCAGGTGAGCTTACCTTTCATTAGAATGTGTTAAGGACGTTAATTACATCGAAATCCAAAGTGTGTTTAAGCTTTTTCATGCTGAAAATTTGTGCAGGTAGCGAGTGCCACAGCCACGTTAGGAATGACATTCTCTGCTTCCATCTCTGTTGTGCAATATTACCTTTTGAACCGTTTTCCTGTCCCTTACGGTAAACTTGAGAGTATTTAGTATTCATCAATCACCGCCTTTTATTCATTTGTTTTGGGTCAAAACTGTAAGTAATGTGTGATCGGTGTTGAGTTTTGCAGCTTTCTATCTCACCACTGTGGCAGCCATTTCAGCATACATAGGGCAGTACATCATTGACAAGCTGGTTACATTATTTGGAAGGGCGTCTCTGATTATCTTTGTTCTAGCCTTCACAATATTTGTTAGTACAATTGCACTGGGTGAGTATCCTGCAAAAGGTTATGAGTGTAGTGTTGCAGATTTGCTTCTCAAGTATGATATCATTCTGGGTTTGTTTATAGGTGGAGTTGGTACGTCAGACATGATTGAAAAGATTCAGCGGAATGAATACATGGGATTTGACGACTTCTGCAAATAGGGGCTCTGTTTCATGGCCTGTACACAATGTGGTTGCCTCTAGAGTTTTATGGTCTCGTATGCGATATTCACATGAGAGGTTGTATAAGAATGATATTATAAATGTGATTGGTCTTTATATTCATAGCACACTGTTTTGGGGATATACGTGTGACTAGCCCTCCAGTTTTTGTCCATATTCTAGTTTATTATATAATAGTTGACACTTGTTCAAAATAATTATTGGTTTCTTTTGGCCAAGTGTTTAAAATATTTATTAATTGTTCATTAAAAAAAATAGACCCATAAAAGTAAATAATCCTCCATTCAACAGCATCTGAAAGAAACTTGCTAGTAAAATAGGGCTTGATTAATAATCACTGCACTAAATTTTTCTCAACTTATAATTGTCTTTATCATGGCCTCTTAACTCATTTTCAGCTTAACTTTTTATTATTTCATTGTAGCTCCACTACAATTATGAATTGCCGTGATCAAACTTTAGCAATAAATATCAATTAATAATGTACATGTTGAATCAATGTTTTTTAATTTAAACTAGATAATGAATTTGAAAGATACTGAGTCACAACTCTCATAATTTAATCAATTAAATTAGTGATTGAATCAGTTATAAATAATTAAATAAAAAAATAATTTTTAAATGAAAAATGAGTCAAAATAGTCTAACCATTTTGAGTTTTGGTTTTTTTGGATCTTTTAAGAATTGTCTGGGTTAAAGTAGGCCAACTCGAGTCAATTATTAGAATGAGTCAAACGATTGAATTAGATTACTCTCTTCTCTCGGTGAAGGTTCGATCATTTGAGTCTGAAAACACTACATTAAATATAAACTACTAATACTCTAAATTATCAAATATAAACTATGAAGTTTAACTAAACCATACTCAAGGACAATGGACTATTCATTCAATGAAGAAAATCCATTTAGCTATCCATGTATTTGACTGGAATAATTAAAAAATATTTTTCTTTTTGTTGTCTCAATTAAAAAAAGGAAAAATGACAAAGAGTAATTTAAGTTAGATTTCAAGTGTCAAATTTTAAAAATTTATAATTTAATCTTTTAATTTTATAATTATAATTATAATTAAAAGTTTGTGATGAATTTATAATTTATTTTTTAAATTTTAACATGTTTGAAAGAAAAAGATTTATTTTTTCCATTAATATTTAGAATAGAAATTATAAGTTTATCACAATAAAGTTAATTGATTCTTTTAAAATTTTTTTGTCATTCTCCCTTAAAAAAAGAATTTTTAATTTTCTTATTTTCTGTAATCAGGGAAATATTCCCTTTTTATTTATTTTTTGTTTGGAACACGAAAATTCCTCCAAATTGTGCCTTTTTCTTTTTCAGATTCCATTTCATTTTTATAGAAATACTTACTTCTAAATTCTATCTTATTTATAAATAATTTTTAATATTTTTTATAAAAATCAAGAAAAATTAAAACATTGACTGTATCTAACAATTAATAAGTTTCATACTTTATCCATAATAAATGCTTCATCAAAAAATTTTTATGCTTTTCTTTTTCTTTTTGGATGAAAGTTTTGTGCTTTTCTACGTCACTATTAAATATAAGAAAATAGAAAAAAATTGTAATAAATAATAAAATCCCCCAACGGACGTGCCAGCTCATATAAATACAACCGGAGGTGTACATGAAAAAATTCTAACATGAGAGAAGGGCTCTTTTCCTATATTGGCTGCCCGGGGGCATGGATTTGTGATTCCTCTCAAACTCAGAACCCTAAGACACACTATCGCTTGGTCGATCGCTCGCTTGCTCCTTCCGCTTGTGCGTAAAGGCAAAGAAACACCATGGTGTTCTACTTCAAAGCACGGCCAGAAGCTGGCGATTACACCATCTTCATGGGTCTTGACAAATACGAGAACGAGGAGCTTATCAAATACGGTTTCATCGAAGATATCTGGTAATCCGCCTCCGCCTCTGCGTTTTTATTGGATTTCCGATACCGTTATGTTTACAAACTTATAGGGCTTGGGATTGCAATTTCCTTTTGAGAACAAATATTTGACGGTTACGCGTAGTTATTGGATTTGGTATTTGTTCTTGCCGCTGTTAATGCTCGATTTTTCTAATGTTCTCATTGTGTTTTCGTAGAAATTTACTGCTCCGAAAAGAAATATGTATTGCTTTGTCTATTTGTTTTCCGGTATCGTGATAAATTGTTTGCATAACATTTGTCTGCCGTTCTATTTTTATTTTGATTTGTCTTTGCTATTTACCCAAGTTAGAGTTTTTTTTTTTTTTTAATAACAGAAATATCTACTACAATTTAGAGATAACTCTCTTTATGATTTCAATACTGTTATTTGGAACTTTAAGGTTTAACAATTGGCTCCTTAGATTCCATGTGATACAGCCATACATTCTTGCAATATGAATGTGTAATAATATCAGGCAAATATACGTTCTTTCTCCCGGTGTAGGGTTTGTTTAGATATTTGTCCCCCAGCATGAAGCTATAACGATAAAGTTCGCTCCTTTCAGGTTCCATGTGGATAAAATGTCTTCTGCCCATGTCTATCTTAGACTGCATAAAGGTCAGACCATCGATGATATAAGTGAAGGCTTGCTGGAGGACTGTGCTCAGCTTGTGAAAGCAAATTCAATCCAAGGTAAAAAGGAAAAAGGCTGGCTGTCTGTTCTTCTAAGCCTTAGTTTTAATTGATTTAATGGTCACTCGTGTAGTCTAGCAAGCAAATTGATAGTGTTTCACAATTCTATTACTGCTTCTATGATAATTATGGTTTCTTTAGCTCCGCACCCTAGAAGTTATGACCGAATGTCAGATTGATAGCTACTGTGTTATAAGGTTTAAAGAAACGTATTCATAACTTTCATCCCTCTGATGTCACTATTTTCTTGTTTTTAATAAACGTCTTTTTGTGTTTACCACTCTTGTTTTGATCTTACATTTGTTTTTAATAAACTCATGGCAGGAAACAAGGTGAACAATGTTGATGTTGTTTACACTCCCTGGTCCAATTTAAAGAAAACTGCTTCCATGGATGTTGGTCAAGTTGGTTTTCACAACCCAAAAATGGTAATGTTATTCACGTGTAGAGATTTTGCATTTTCTTTTCTCAAAGCTGTAGGGAACAGTGTGTTTCAGATTGTATTTATAATTGGTCATTATCTGGTTTTATACTTACTAATTAGGTTCGAACTGTGAGAGTGGAGAAGCGGATCAATGAGATTGTGAACAGGTTGAACAAAACAAAAGTGGAAAGGAAACCTGATTTGAAAGGTGAGTAACATATTTACTTTCCTTTTTATGATTATTCTACATAAAGATGCCTTTTGTAAATTGTACATCTAAGTTCTGGAAATTGAATTTGCATTTTCAGGCTAGAGAGGCAAATTTGCAATTTATATCTTTAATTACATGATCATATCTAGCTATTGTCTAATGTGCTACTTGTGCATCGTAATTGTACATATGCATGTAAATTTGATTTGACTTGTCTGATCTTGAATTTAAATATTATCTGATATTGCCCTAGCGAAGCCTGTTAATTAATCATGATATGTACTTGCCATGTGTATTGCAGCTGAGCGGGAAGCAGTTACTGCTGCTGAAAGAGCAGAAAGGAAGCAGCAACTGAGGGAAAAGGTGAGTTTGGTAGGTTGCTGTTCTGGACTTCTGGTAATAGTGAGCCAAGTATTGCTGTGAAATTCCCAATTTCTATACAGGTCACCCTACTCTACAGCCTCGACACCTCTCTCACTAGAGCTTAACTTGAATGTAAAGATGGCTTTTTCATGATAAATTCACGTGGCACAATGCTTTCAGTGTGATCTCTATCTGTCAATTTGGAATTTTTTTGTTTGTGGATTTTGTGTGTGACGAGTGCTAAGAACTGTTGGATTTCTTGGGTTTGGGTGTCTGATTCTTAAAAATTAGTTTGAATGACATTAGTCTCTGGGTTGTAGAATATGTAAAAAAACTAAATTTGCATGCATTTAGTTGGCGAAATGTCTTCTCTCTTGATATCCAGTTAGTACCACGGCGAACTGTCTTGCCTAAATACATATACATTCCTGTTTCTCTGTACAGAAACGGCGGGAGGAATTGGACAAAACTGAAAAGGAGAGGCAAGCAGAACTGAGGAGCTACAAGGGTCTGATGGTGTCAGAAAACATGACGTCCAATAAGCAAATAGCATCCGCAAGTAAATCATTGCAGGAACTGGAGGAGGATTTCATGTAAGCATTTCTGATTGGATATAATTGAGATAACTGGTGACCAATCTTCCACCCAACTGATAAAAGATATTGATTGAATAACCAAACTTGTAGAAGTTGAAATTGCAGAATATGCTTACCTGGATTAAGAGAGCTAGTAGTGTGTGCTTATGTATTTGAGGCAGGTAAAAAAATTAGGGGGAGATGGAGGGGGAGGAAAACGATTTATCATTGTACCTCTGGTGCGACGGTACCTGATGCAGAGCCTTGCTCGACACTTTATTGGCGGTCGAAGGTGACCAACTACAATTCCTTGTTAAGTAACCTTTCGAGTTTGGTTTTTCGTTTTCCCCTGTCTTGCATGCTAACTTCGCCTAATTTGATTCGTTAAAACTGAAACGACTAAAAAATATGGAAAAACTCGCGATCTCGAATTAAAATAAATATTTTGATGGTAAAGTCTGAAATAAAATTGTCACCTTAAAATCTTGAACTTTGATTTGTGTGGGCAGATTAGACTAGTGTTAAGAATATTCACTTACAGTGAAAATTGGATTGATTATTGAAATTGGTTCACAGTTTCTTGGTTTGATAATAAAATAATATATTTTTAATTTTTAATTTTTAATTTATGTATCATAATTAAATGAAAAATAAATGTAAATATTTATATTTTTCAAAAAATATATTAATAAATGCTCGGAAAAATGATTATTCATATTAATTATGCTTGATTGTTCTTTGTTTTAATTAATTTTTAATTTTAATATTTTTTAATATTTTTTAATTTAGTCTGGTTTTTTAAGGGATTCGTTCTGGTTTTTAATTAATTTTTTTGATTTTTGATTGGTTTTCTTGTGATTGATTTTGAGGAGTCAATCGAATCAGATTAAGAGCCAGCGGTTTAGTTTTTAAAACACTGCACATTATATAACTAGAATCTGGCAGTGTATATTTTTCTTGAAGGTTGAGATGAGTTCCTTTATCCCTAATTTATGAATAGATGCGCACATACGCACATTTTAAATTTCATGTACGTTGATGTTAGATAAGTGGGGGGAAAATCAGCAATGCAATCAGCAATTCCATTGCTTTGCTGAGAACTCTTCCCACAATTTTTTAATTATAGAACCTCACGTTATAATTTTTTTAACAGGCTCCCTTCAATGGCCCATTCGATTCGTAAAATAATAAATTTAGAAAAGAAATAAAATAAAAGAAATGGAGTGGAAATGGAAGGAAAGAAGTGACGCTGATTTTGACACGTGACAAACAGATGGTTTTGTGGGTAAATTTATATTTGATTGAAAAATTGAGATAATACCCAGAAGGAAAAGGGAGAATGATTGGTAAGTTTTAAGAGAGTCAAATTTAAAGAATTTGCAAATTTATTTTTTAACTTTGTAATTTTATTGTGATGAATATATAATTTATTTTTTAAATTTTAACATAGTTAAAAAATAAATAAATTTATTTTTGTTGTTAAAATTTGAAGCATAAGTTGTAAAATTGAGAATTAAACTTTTAAATTTATGAAATTTAATATTTAAAATTTAATTTAAATTAATTAATGTTCTCGAGGCCTCTTTATTATTCTCTGCTCTTGAACTTAGTTCCAAGAGGACTAGATGACCTTAATACATTGCTTTAAAAATTGTATCGTGCATTAAATTGAAAATACCTATAATTTATTATTTTCATGGATCAATTAGTTAGATCAATTGATGAATTGATAATTTAATAATTAAATAAAAATAAGAATATATATATATATATATGTAACATGTATAAAAAATAAAAATATCAGAATTTGAACAAGAACCCATAAAATAATTATTATAATTAAAAGAATAATTTTAATTTTATTCATAAAAATAACAGTAAATTTTAATTGGTTGGCAATTATAAATTTAATTTGAATAGCTTAAAGAAGACCAAAAAAATAAAGTAACTTACAAATTTGAATATTTAAAAGAAGACCAATGGATTTTGATTTCTAATTTATCTCTTATTACATTTATATTGTAATTTGAAAATTTTTTTATATTATAATAATTTAAAATTTCAATCACTTTAAATATTATATTCTTTTCATGTTTTTGAAATTCGATTATCATTTTATCCTTTGTTTCTTTAGTTTTCTTTTGCCATTCTTTCCCTTTTTCTTTTCTTTTCTTATTCAATCGATGATTAAAAAAAATGAGAAGTTTTGAGTTTTTCTTTAATTCAATATCCTCATCCAATTTTCCTTAGCTCATTGTGGTTCCAAACTATAGAATTGATTAGATTCTTAATTCTATTTGCACTTTTCACATATATTTTCATAAAGACTTGGTTACTACTCTTTTACCTATTGACCATGGTATCAAAACCAAGTTTCGTTTGGGACCTGAAAACCTATCATTACGCACACTTTTGAGTCTTGTATACATTACACTGTTTGTAGTCTGTAAAAATTGTACTAGCCCTAAAAAGGTAACTCCTACTTAAGGGAAAAATTGTTAGGTTGTCTAAGTGTGAATGGACTTAAATAGATTTAGGAAGTCTGACATTGAATAAAGTTATGCTTAATAACCAATATAAAAAAAAAAAGAGGAATGACTTCAAGTGGTTTCCAACTCAAATCCCGATTTGTAATTGTCCAACCCAGCTCAGTTATCAAAATCATCTAAAGTAAGAAACCAAATCATTCTTCTCTCCAATCACCAATCCAGCCGGTCTAATCCAATTTTAAAAACAATGCTTCAATGTTTTTAACTATGGGTAATTTAGTAATTCCATAATGTCTTCCTCCTATGAAAAAAGTCTATATAACCTTTGCTTCTCCCTCACTTCCCTTGCAAACCAAATAAGTCTTGAAGGTTGGCCCAAACTTTGTTTGGAAAGAAGAGGCTGCCCCAAAAGAAATAGATTTACTTAAAGCGCCATAAGATCAAATCTCGGCCTAGAGTGCTTAGTGTTCCCTCATCTCTCAACAGAGGCATGGAAGATCAAGTGGCTTCATCGTCTGCTTCCAGCGGTAGAAAAACCATAAAGGAATGCGAATCCATGATAAAAAAAGCCTCCAAAATTTAATGATACGATTTTTGAGGGAATGCTTGGAGAAAGTTGGTTGTCCTGTGCGCAACAATTTCTTCAGAGTTGTCAAATTGCAAGACGAACAAAATTGGTGGTTACCTTCTCGATGAAGGGATAATAGTATGCATGGATAAGATAAATTTACAAGATAAGTTCAACCAAGTAATAGCTCACGAATTGATTCATGCTTCAACTACTGTCATACTGCCAACTTGGATTGGACTAATTGTGCTTACTATGCTTGTAGTGGGATTTAACCTAACTATCTAAGTGGCATTTGTCATTACAAATGGGAATTGTTATGATGCCATCTCAAAATACGTGCATGGACAAGTATGTGTGAGGCGAAGAGTTATGGCAACATTGTCTAGAAATCCTAATTGCTCCGAAGCAGCTTCCAAAGATGCCATGGAAGCTATTTGGGATGTTTGTTACAATGACAGGCAACCTTTTAATAAAGCTCCATAAGTTCATCCTGAGAACTTATATATTGCTAGTCTCAATTATATTTACAAGAGAATGATTCTTTTAACTTGTTTTGCATTATTTTTATCTGAGGCAGTCATACAAGATTGTTGTTCATCATTATGGAATAAAGTGTCCATCAATTTTTACACTACCTCGTCGAATTTAAAGAAATTGCTTTAATAGATGCTAGTCAAGTTGGGTTTCATTACTGAAAAAAATTATGATTACTGCATACATGCAAAGCTGTGCATCTCCCCCTCTATCAAAGTAGGTTAGAGGAGCATGTTCCAGCTTTCATTCATAGATTATCATTATTTGGTTTTATACTTCATAATTAGCTAGTAACTGTAAGAGTGAAGCTTCTCATTTCTTAATGAGATTGTGAACACATTGAGCAAGACAAAAATAGCAAGGAAACTCGACTTGATTTGAAAGGTAACACTTATAGTTGCTTTCTTTGTATTATTTATTCTACATGCAATTCTCTTTAAACAGGTAATTTTTAGAAATTGACTTTGCCTTTTTAGGATAGGGAGGCAGATGTGCAATTTGCATTTCTAATTACATGAGCATGTCTAGCCATATACTTATGTGCATTATCTCATAACTAAATATGTGCATGTAAATCTAAATTGAGTCTTCTAATCTTGAAAATGAATATTCTCTAATCTTATCTAGTAATACCTGTGAGTCACTCATATATGGGATGTTTGTTACAATGACACATGGCACTGACCAAGCATTGTCGATTCATATGGATGATCTAACGGGTGCTTACCTTCTCCCATTCTTACCCCGTCGTTGAAATGGACCTAAGTTAAGTTTTATGTAATGTGAGTATAACTTACCTTTTATTTTTTAAAAAATCATTCCATAGTTAAAGTCACTCTGGACTTTAGCTAATTGAGATTCGAATCGAGTCAACCCTGTTTGGTTGGGATGGAGGGGAAAGGAAGTTTTTTAAAATTTTTCCTCCCTTCCCTTTCAAAACCCCCCTAAATTGGGGAGATGCCCCCTCCCCTTCCTCTCTCCTCCCCTCCTCCCCTCCTTTCCCCTCACCTTCCTTCCCTGCCATCCCCTTCTTTTCCCCCTCTTCTAACCAAACAAAGCCTTATATAAACCCGAATATAAGACCTCATGCATGAGTAGTCATAGCTTTATACTAAGATCGACTTCGGTTAGGTGAGTATAACTTTTAAAAAATAATGATTGTTTTATTATATTTTTGATACTTTTTATCTTGAGTGAGACAAAAGAATGAATATTATTTATTTTATTCTTAATCTTAATAGAAAGGGAAGACATCCAAAACAACTTAGCCTACATTTAAGGCACGAGTCCTTTTAACCAGACATTGTCACTTGAGCTTTGCTACAATCTCCACAGCACCACTCAGCTTGACGGCTGCAAATAGAGAAGCGAACATGCCAATTCCTTTCAAGAAGATCCCTTAACTCGATCACATCCTTTGCAGTTTGCAGATTACAGCTTTGAATGTGGCTCCTCAAAGCAGTCAGTTTCAAGGATAATTAATTTGGTACCACGATGCCAAGTCATCTTCAATCCCAACGAGCTTGCTCAAATGTCTACGTGAACACTGTTGCCAAATCATATATCCTTTGACTTGAACACACGATCCCATTTAGCCATGAAGTTTGAGACATTACCTTCTTGCTAGATATTCTCTCATTCCTCATCATCCAAACTCTTGCATGCTATAATAGCAAACCTTCCTCCAAAACCCACGATTCTCAATCGATGCACCCACTTTTGTTTTAGCTGATAATATCTTTCATTGTAATTGTAATTATAAAAATAAATTACTTTTTAATGATATATATATATATATATATAAAACTATTCTTAAAAAGATATATTAAATATATTTTCTAATATAATTTTTTTTATACATGATAGTTAAAAAAGAATTTAGCCCCCCAAATAATTCACTCCTTAAGTAGGAGTAACAAACAAGTAGTCTCCATTTAAATATTAGTTGTGCTTGGATTGGATATTTATTTTTAAAATCAGTAATTTAGGTTAAAAAATTTAGAATTGGGCTTAAAAAAAATATTATTTTTTAATGTTTGCACCTATTTAGATCAGCTCAAATATGCCTGAAAAAATAAATACCCGAATAAAATAAATATTTTTAAAAAAATATATAAAAATATAATAAATATAAATTATTATTGAAGTTTTATGTCATATTATATTAAAATACCATATAGTTGAATGCATTGCTATAGTTATTTTTTAAAAAATTAAAAATATTTATATTTATATTTTTATTTTTTTAATCAATAAAATATCTCAAAATAATATTTAAAATATATTTTAATATTGATTTATATTTTAAGACCCAATTATTTTTTAAAAAAATTTTGAGTAAGTATCCAAAAAAAATATACCTTATATTTTTTTTATAAGATGAGATAATTAATTTTAAAGTAAAAAATAAATTAAAATAATTTTAAAAATAAAATTTGATCACGTACAAATTTTTAACTATATTACTAAATAAATATAATAAATAAAATAATATTCTTGAATAGTTATTTATTCATCATCCACACCAAATTTAATTAAAAATTAAGAATAAGCTATAATAAATACCTCTTATATGTTTAAACAATATAAAAATTTTAAAAAATAATTTAAAAATAGTATTTTATTCTTAATTAAATGATTTTGTTTTATATAATAAAATTATAATTATTTTTCTCATATTCTTAAAAATAAAAAATATAATTTATCTAAAATTTATTTAAAAATTTAAAATAATTGAAACAATAATTTTTAATTAGTGATCTGATCATTATGAATTAAAATTAACTTAATCAGAATTAAAATATATAAAATATTTATATATAATCATGATAAAAGTAATATTTAAAAAATTAATACATTAATTTATAAATAAAAAAAATATTCATGAATAAAATATACATAGTACAATAAAACAATAACAAAATTATTTAAGTACAAAATTTATAAGTTATTTTTTTCTTTTATTCTTTTAAAATCAAAATAATATTTTATACTTAACAGAATTATTTAAAAATTAAAATTAACTCAAAACATAAAGAATTTTTTTTTTTTGAATATTCAAGCTGGCTTTTAAGCTTAAACTTATCCATATAAATTTTTTAAATAGGATAAAATATTTTAAATTCGATCTTGAATAAACTTCACATGCATTCCCAACTCTACTGATCCATCATAAACTTTCAAATCCCATACTCTTGCAAGCTTATATACCCAAAATTGTAGCAATTTTTCAACTCCTTTACACTTCCGTTGTTTTTTGCACCTGGAAAGTAGCATGTGCTGAAGTAGATTGAGGGAGCGGCTTAAAATCTGCTGCATTTCAGTCATTTAGAAGGCAATTACCTCGCATGCTTCTTCGCTAAACCAAACAAAAAAAAAAAGTGAATCTCAGTTCAAAATTCTCACAACAAATTAAAGCATAACTTCTTATTGATGTTACAACAAACAGAATGAAGTCCTCCACATCGGGGGGGTTAACATGCTAATGCCATCCAAAAGTAGATTTTCTATTGCCTTCTCTCCTAATTGCTGGTACTATTTCTCTGAAAAAGGAACAGAGGATTGAGAGAAATCGGATCGTATTGGTTTCATATTTTAGACCACCCGAGTCACAGCAGCATGTATTGCGTCCGCCAGATGAGGGACGGTCTTAGAGCTCAGACCGGCCATGCTAATTCTCCTGCACATTCAACATACAGATTGGATGATCTGAAATTCCACCTAGATAACTCCCACAACGCTTGTGAGAGACTACATTGATCAATGGTAAAAGATATAAATAAGTTTCAATATTATAAAAAACAGACGGACATCAACTCATATTCTGGATATGATCGCTGCTGGTGCATAACAAGAGCTCTCCATAAGCCTAGAGTCTGTGATGGCACACATCAGGACGAACACTTCAAACATCATACACCATGCTTGCTTAAAATTGATGTTAGTCATGCATACCACCACCAAAAGTGATTTGTATTTTGTAGAATTGTGCATGCTTTAATAATTTCACTTGTTTATGTTGGGGGCACAAGAAATGAAAATAATAACAAAAAAATGTATGATGCACACTAAAAGATATCCTGAATACCAACATAGAGCATCTTACCCATCAGATGTCATATATATATGGTATTCTTTATTCATGAAGGAAACTTGCTCTGCATTCAATCCCGTGAAAGTAAACATTCCAATCTGCTTAATAATGTGACTCCAGTCGCCAGGAGTACCTGCTCAATTTTAAAGAAAAAATGAATAAAGCTCAGATAAGCAACATCATAAACAACCAAGAGCTAGGAGTTAGAAACAGGTGAGGGCACACATGGAAAGGAGACATTGAAAAACAATTTTAAAACATAGGACAGAAGTATAACCACCAAGGCAATGAACCACCCCAGAAACAACTAAAGAGAACTATGAATAGGGGGGGAGACTATCAGAAAACTGACCACGAGCACGTAAAGCATCAAAAAGTTGTTGGCGCATTGCAATAATGCGGTCAGCCATTGCCTTCAACTCAACAGTCCACTCATGGTACAGATCCCTGAAAGTGGAGATACAAAAGATCTTCATAACAGAAGAGTTCAGGAGATATACCAAAAATGCAATATATACCAGAATCTCAATTCTAGCAGTATTATAATAGAAAAATTCTAAATTAAATTTTATTTATAAGAATAAATATATCAAATTCAATGATGTCTAAACACGAGGTATGTTTTCAATGAGGTTCACTTTCAACAAGTATAGAACATCATTTACAATTATTTTTAAAAACTAAGTCTACCTTAAAATATAATTGATATGTAACTGGAAGCACCAAAGCACAGCATAATGTATAAAAGAAGATATCTAAACTACCAAATTTGTCTCTTCTAATGAACAATCCTCGATAGAATTTCCCATCTATCAGAACTAAACATATATTGGGACATGGCCTGTATATATACTGAATTAATTAGAATCACTAGATTCATCAACAGTGACAATACCATCTGAAAATTAGATTTCATCACAGAAGAAGGCAAGGAAAGAAAATGAAAAACGATAGCCAACAACAAACCCCCTTTTTGCTTATTTCAACGCACAAAGCAACCAGAGAACCTTTGCTGGTTACCTATCCTTGAGAATGGCAGCCACAATAGATGCACCATGAATGGGAGGATTTGAGTACATGGGCCTGATCACAAGTTTCACCTGGCTCTCAACTCTACTTGCGACATCAGCTGATTTGCAGACCTGAATTAAGATTTTAGAAAGAAAAAAATTGAGTCAGCTCTCTGAAGCAAACACCAAAAGTTACCAACACTTGATGCCTGGAAAAACTATTTAACAAGAGGGGGGAACACATATCATTTCTAGCAACACTATACAGATCCAAGAAGTGATCAAATCATTTAGAGTCAATAAGATACAACATGCAATGAGAGCTGCATATAAAGGCCTACAGTGTTTCCAACATTTGATGACTTGCACTCGGAATTTTAACTCTTACTATGCTTAGAGCGCCAACACGTTCTCCATACAGCCCCATGTTCTTTGCATAACTCTGGGCAACTAGTAATTCACCCCCATCAGCAGCAAAAATACGAACAGACTGTGCATCTGCATCTAGACTTCCACTAGCAAAACCCTACAGCACCAAAAGAAGATCGCCTTAAAACACACTTGTTTTTTTTAAAAAAAAGATCAAATATTGAGTATTTAAGGCATAATAAACAAAAAAAATATGTTGCAGACAAGGCCTATAAGGGATCATGCTAATAATTTAGATAATGAAATTTCAATTTCTCTGTGGGCTCACTTTCTATTTTTCAGGTGGTCGACGGAGTACTATCTTATTATACACAAAGATGCTCTTCACATTAAGAGGCCTACCTGATAAGCACTGTCAAAGAAAGGTAACAAAGCTTTTGATCTTATCAGTTGTCTAATCTGCTCCCATTGTTCGGGGGTTGGATCAACACCAGTAGGGTTATGGGCACAAGCATGTAGCAAAACAACAGATCCAGATGGGGCAGAACCAAGATCCTCTAGGAGTCCTGTTAGATACTAGAAAAACATTAATTAACATACAAAACCAGAATCGTGATGCACATTGCAAAAATACAGAAGAGATCAGGATCAAGCACTTCATAAGCTGATATGACACGTAATTTCTGACCTTGAAAGTCAAGCCCTCGTGTTGCTGGAGCATAGTAGCGATAGGTTTTGACTGATAACCCTGCTAGAGTGAAGACCTTTGGGTGATTTCCCCAAGTTGGTTGAGGCAAGTATATGGTCCGCTGAAGAGACCAGGAAGCCAAAGAAGTAAATTGGCAGGTGGCACTTTATAGTAATCAGTTTTCAAGGAAAATGAGAGGAGGAAAGTTGAGGATGAAGCATCTTACTTGATGATAATGTCTTGCCAAAAATTCTCCCCCAACTCTTAATGAACCAGTTCCAGACAGGCATTGAACAGTGGTTACCCTGTTCTCTTTTATAGCAGGGCTACATCCAACAAAATAAGCCGGTAAGTTATCTTTCAAATCAAGTAAGGGTTCGTTAAAGATATGTTTTTTAAACAAAAAACAAAAAACAAAAGAAAAGGGGGCATGCTTATATTTTTAACCTGTCAGCACCAAAAATGAGTTTAGCACTCAGTTTATTGAAATCGACCAATCCAACAATAGGAAGATATTCCTTGTTGCGTGACCTAAAAGTAGCAGAGTAAACTTCCTCACAATTCAATATCAATAATAATACAATTCAAATAAGGACAAAGAAAGTATGGATGCCCACTGACCTGTCATTAACCAGTTGCCCTTCTACTCGTCGCACTACATTCAAAACAAGAGGTTTTCCTTCCTGTTATAGCATAGTTGAACCAAGTTAGTCAAATCAGAGTTGAAGCATGAAGTAATACTTGTCATCTCCATATATTTGGAAATTCTTAATTACAGGTCTCCCTGGTGAGCCTAAAGTTGTTGGGCCAAGGTCTACATTAGCTAGCTGTCGCACGGGACAAGAGGTGGAGAAGTGAGAGAGTAGGCTAGTAGCGGGAAACATTTACAATGTAGTGGGAGAGGAAGCCAAGGAAGAATTTGGATTTGTATGAGGAGAGCCCTAACCTATTGAAAGCTTAGGATGTGTCCTCTGTCCCATGGTGCTCATTGTTTGCAGAAAATTAATAACCAGAACTGGAACCGAATAGCACTCACCTCAGTTCGATAAGCACCAACACCCAAATTCAACTTAACTGGACTTGGATCTTTGTTGTAAGCTACAGTGACCTATTTTAAAACAAGACAGAAAAAAGAAG